ATTCTCAATGTTTTTACAAGTCTCATGTTAACTTACACATGTTTTCTGGTAGATTGTTTTTAAAGATGTAGAAAAGTGTAAAAAGTAATTTAGATTTGAATCAGTGATGTATTTTTGGCACATTTGCACAGTCACATATGCTGATAAGTGATTTATGGCATACATGCATCCATACATTTATACATACGTGCACACACACATAAACACATGCACACACATAAACACATGCACACACATAAACACATGCACACACATAAACACATGCACACACATAAACACACACACACATAACACACACACACACACACACCACACACACACACACACACACACACACACACACACACACACACACACACACACACACACACACACACACACACACACACACACACACACACACACACACACACACACACACACACACACACACACACATTTCAAATGTGTATGCATAGTTATATATGACTGCATTAGATACTTTTATATTGCATTTGTTGTTATTAGTACTTTGGAAGTTGTAAGGCAAATTTTAACTTTATATTCAACTATAGACATGCCATAGTAGGTTTACTAAGGAAAAGTTTTTAAGCCCTGCCCGTGATGGGGTGCATTGATTTATGATTGGCCGGTACAAATTTGCCAAGTTTGAGGTACATTGTGGTCAATCTGTTGTCAAAATGTTATATATTGGCCATGTCAACCCAGTATAAGAAAATTTTGTATTTCTCATGATATGAAAAGTAATGAGTTCAATTTGGAATCAAGTCAAATGATGCTGAGCAGTATTTGATCATTGTTAGATGTTAACCAATCATAATGTGAGGCAGAAAGAAGGGGCAGGGCTTAAGTGATCCTACAATAGTAAGTCATCGTAGGATGTAGTCAACTACTCCCCCAACAAAAACTAAATCAGAAAAAAAAGAATAGAAATTACAACATGAGAACCAAGCATGAGTCCCTGTCATTCTCAGGTCACATTCTGACTGTGGGCTGGTACCTGTGGAGCTGCGCAGACCCTATCCAATATTACGGTAAAAAAATGGAAAGAAAAGAAAAGACAAAGACCGCTTCATACGTGCTGTCTTGTAACTAGCTTTGACTCTCCCTCTCAAAGCTGCTCTGATGCTGGTCTTTCTGTTTTAGGATGTGCATCTTGTAACCCATAATATTTATTTATTTATTATTCTTTTTTTTCTATGTGATTATTTGAGTTATGTCTTTGTTTGGCTTGGTTGTTGCACTTTATTTGTGATATTGTGATATTATCAGTATTATCATTGTTGTTATCAAAATCATGATTATTATCATCATTATTACCATAATTGTCATTGTTATCATTCCTAATATTTCAATTTTTATTGTTATTATTATTATTATTATTATTATTATTATTATTATTATTATTATTATTATTATTATTATTATTATTATTATTATTATTATTAATTATTATTATTATTATTATTATTATTATTATTATTATTATTATTATTATTATTATTATTATTATTATTATTATTATTATTATTATTATTATTATAGTTATTATTATTATTATTATTATCATTATTTTTGTCATTATTATCATTATTTTTGTCATTATTATCATTATTGCTATTATCATCATCATCATTATTATTATTATTGTCGTTATTGTTATTATTACTATTATCATTATTTTTGTCATTATTATCATTATTGCTATTATCATCATTATTATTATTATTTTCAGTATTATTATTATCATTATTATTATTATTTTCATTATTATTATTATAATTATTATTGTTATTATTATTTTTGTTATTATTATTATTATTCTTACGTTAATTATCATTGGTGTCATCATTAATGTTATTTTTATTATCATTATTATCATTTTTATTATTATATTATCATTATTATTATTGCTGTTATTATTATTATTATTATTATTATTGTTATTATTATTGTTATTATTATTATTATTATTATTATTATTATTATTATTATTATTATTATTATTATTATTATTATTATTATTATTATTATTATTATTATTATTATTGTTATTATTATTCCTTCCACTAATATCTGTGCCTACAGACAGGTGAAATCCTCTGTGATTAAGCAACTGCCTAATTTCAACCAGAACAGTGTTTTTATCTTCCGCTGACAGTCTCCTCACTTCCCACATCCCACGCTTACTCATTTATGCCGACCAGCATTCACGTAGACTGGGTGATCCTCGGACGTGGTCTTCCATCCCTTTTGTTCACCTGTCCTCACCTGCCCTGTATTTACTAAATTGCTTCAGTTCAGACCTGTTGATGAACGTTGGTCTTAATGAATCTCAATTGTGCTTTATAGGTTTTTCTACAATTATAATTATTATTGGTAATAATGATGATGATAATCATAACAAGAACAATAACAGCAACAACAGTAATGATAATAAATTATATTGATAAATAATAACAATAGTTATAATGATAATAATAAAAACAAAAATGAAAAT